TTGCATATCACCAGCAACAGGATGTGGCCCCTTGGTCATTTATATGGTTTAAAGCATGGAGACACAGTGCTACGTTCATAATTAAATCCAGTCAGCTTTTTCAAATGCACTCCTTCATTCCCTACCAAGTGCAGACTAAACAGTAGCTTTAACTCATTAGCTAGGTCCTCATCCCTGTCACCCCCCTGGCTAATGACATATGCACAGAGAAGTGACATATGACACAGGACAGACATAGGTGTCTTTGACATGTTTACTCTAATTGATGGTCTGACTACAACTTCTCTATGCTGTGTGAGGCAAGATGGTGACACCCAGCAGGGCAAGATTAAGTTAATTGGCTCCTTTCTAAATTGGCCCTAGTATGTGTGTGTATGTATGCATATAAGATGGGATGTTGTAAAGTAGTCACCGCTCCAAGCTCACTCCCGTGATGGACTACAATCTCACGTTTAGTTTACTATTTCATATTGAAGGTATATGATATCACGGGAGTGAGCTTGGAACAGTGGCTACATTACAACACACACAGGGACCATGTGGAACAAAAGTAGCCACCCTCCAGAAGGAAGGACAGTGTCAGCACCAATTCAGAGATGATTTGAGGATCTTCAGCCGAGTGATACACAAATAAGATACATTTTTGTTAATAGTTAAGGTACTTGAATCTATTTTTAAGATTTAACTCCTGAGTTTAATGTCACTTTAAGCACACTACATAGTCATTTTGTGGGGTGTTGCAACAGTCTGCTCTTCAACTTGTGTGTATGCTACTTGTATAGGTGTTTCATAAGGCAATCTGATGTCTACAGTTTTAAGTAATTTTGCACACTGGAATTTCCCTAATATTGGTCTATATCACAAAGTAGTTGCCTCCACTTTATGTGTGTCAGGCACACAACTAGCAGAAATAGATAGCCATAGGTGTTCTGTATTTTCTGTTACCCAAAATAGGTTGAAGTGTAGCTTATGGTACCCATAGACATTTTATGACAGTCTGATGATCTAGCCAGGCCATGATCTAATGCCTATAGGCTTTCTGCAGACAATGCCACCAAAGGCTCATCAGGAGCACAAGTGACTGGACAGGGACAGCAATCTTGTCCAATTGCTGTTTGTTTTTGTTTCCCCTAATGAGCCTAAAGAAGACTTATTTGCAATGTGTCTTCCCTGCCTCTTCCCCTTGGTCAGTTTAGGAAATGTAAACGGTAAAGTTGCCTCAGAACTGTCAGATTGTGTCTGCATATACAACCATCATGCTTTTTCCAGTTAGATTATTATTATTAAGGTTTATTCTGAACAGTCAGTAAAAGGTCAGTGCATTACTGTATAAATCCGTAATGGAAATGATGCTGTCCATGTGGCCTTGGCCTTCATTTTTTGTGAACTCTATTACCTAACAAAGAGCAGTGCTGTTTGTGTAACGCTTGCCTTGTTTTTTTTATGTTGATTTATTATCTTACAGCTTGAAAGTGGACTTGAAATGAACAGAATATTTCTGTCTGCGGCTGCACAGAATGCTTCCCAGCGGAAGGAAAAGAAAAAGAAGCAATTACAGGTAATTATAATGCAAAGGAGATGAAGAAGTAATGTTGATTACATCAGTTAAGTGTTTTAAAGAAAAGAATAAACCTGTCATTACTTTTATATACAAAATGGAAAGTGGGTTTTTCTTTTTATATTTCAGCTTGTAAGCGATTTGCATTGGTGTATCTGAACTAATTGCTATGTTTTACATTGTTCTGTTTCCTAATCGGAAATAATCATGCCTCCTGAATTTTTTTTTTTTTATATACTGCCGTTTCTGTGATAGGAGAAAGCAGCCTTTAAAATGTGCTAGACAGCATTTATATACCATAGAAAGGTGACAAATGGGAACTTTCTGACTACCTGTCACATTTTTTACTTATTTTTTGTTAATATTGCACCAGTGCTAGTTATTAATTGTCATTGATAATTATAATGTGTGTTATTTTGTTTTAAGCAGAAGAAACCTGCAGTAAGTAAGCCTACTCCTGACCTGAGAATGTCTTTGAAGGCAGGTGATCTCCCATTTGTAGCTGGTAAAGTGAGTATATATGTATTTTATTTTAAATTTCTGTTGATGGTTATAGATGGCTTATCTGGGCCTGCACATTACATATGTGTTGGTAAATGTGACTGAAGCAAAATCTGACAGTGTGTCCAGCTTTAGGTTTCATGTACACAGTTGTTAGGGTCAGAAAAAAACTCTAATGCAATCTGCTTTTGTGCTACTTTAACTTGCTTTTGGTTGCTTTGACTTGGTTATGAGTTGAATAGAGCTAGTTGTGTATTTCCATTGACTTGTGTAAGGAAGGAAAGCAGTTTAGCTGCAAATAAATGCCCTTACACAGGTTACTAATTAATGCAACCGTTCCTCTAGTCTGTTGTAGGGGTACCTTAAACTATTAGTGATAGCAATGAAGATCACCAGCAATTGCAAAATGTAATAAATCCACGGGTTCTTTTTATTGTAGAATGTCACATGTATCATATAGCCAACGTTTCTGAACCCCGCAGGATCCCTTCATCAGGGCAAACATAGTGACAAATTAATAAATGTAAAGAACTCTTATTTGTAATCGGAGTCTACTTACCTGGGACTGGAAAGCGCATGCCTGGCAGAAACCTGCTGACGACCGGAAAGCCCGCTACCTACGATAGATGCTTCTAACCTGTGTACTAAACAAAATAGACAACAACACAAACATACAGGCCTGGGATGTGCCATGGTCCGGGTGGACAGTACACCAATATGGGGGCATACACTGAGTATGAAGTAAGGCAACCGAGGGATTGGGAGGGGGGGTCGCGCCGTCGGATCCCTGCGTACCCGGAAGCCTGGCACGGGTGGCTTAAGAGAGCTGAGGATCCGCAGACTCCTCCCACAAATACAGGCTAACTGGTTAGCCTTAAACATACACCCATACACACAGGTGCTAAGAACCTCCGCTAGGCGTCGTATTGACGTCATAGCCCAGACTTTCAAAAAAACATAACAGAGAAAATAAAAATAATGACACATATCAATAGAGGCAAAAAGATGGCCAAGTGACATCACAAGTAAAAAAAACTCAGCAAAGGTGCCCATTTCTGTTGACTACACTATTAGTGTACATTGACTGCTGGAGCTGAGTACGTCTGATTTAAGGAATTTTGTCAGATTTGTGCAATAAAATGTTTTTTTCACCGTAGTCTCAATAACAGTATCTGCTTTTCCAGTACTAATAGGATTGACAATTTACACAAAAAGAAACAAGTTAAAAAAAACAAAAACATTTTTCTAGCATTTTTCCCTAGTATTTATTAATGTTTACACTTGTCTGTTTCTCCTACATATAATGGTATTTCATATGTCCACCTTTTGCACAGTGTATAGTCTAAAACCCGGGTGGACAAGTTAATATTGAATTCAGGAACCAGTCTGTCCAATCCAGGAACCAGAGGGATATTTTTTTAGGAGCCAGCTCCGTTGACACCAACAAGAGAAAACCTCAAAAGTTAGACACCAGCTGTCATTTATAAGGAGCATCGGCTACCTGGCCCTGGGATTTGTCTAAAATCAACAAAACCACTTTACCATTTGTAAAGAATGTAAAGAATCTATGTAAAAATATTTAGAGAAACATTTAAGATATTGTGTTTGTGCAGCAGGAAATTGGGGTTTAATAATGCTGGTTTGTGTTCGAAGTGACTGAATGACATTTGTACATTATTGTATAAATATCAAATCATTACGTTGTGAAAGCCAAAGTCATCTAGGACAGTGATTGTTTTACCCATATATCTCTTTAGCAACAGGTCCGTTATAATAGTGATCTTTTGCTCACTGTTAACAGCTAGGAGAAGGATATTTAAAATGATGTTACTGCAGCAGTGGCTGAGCAGGCCTCATTCACACTAGAAACGGCCGGCACGTACAGCTCCGTGCTGCGTGCACGGCCGTATCGAGCATCTCCCGGGAAGAACAGGTGCTGCATGTGATTTAGTACGCAGCCCCGTCCTTATCTATGGGACTACGTGACCATACGCCCCCCTACGGTCACCTCAAGTGCAGGTCCGTACGGGTGCGTGTTTCCTGGCTCGGATGCAGACAGGATCCATCCTGTCAGCGTACGGGTACGCGCACCCGCATGGACGTGCAGGGCGGGTGAGCATAGGTTGGGGTACGCCCGCGTAGTCCCATAGAGAAGGACAGAGGCTGCGTACTAATCATACGCAGCACCAGTCCTTCCCGGGAGCTGAGCGATACGGCCGTGCATACAGCACGGAGCTTTACGTGCCGGCCGTTTCTAGTGTGAATGTGCTAAAGCTCAACTTCGGGGGGAAAATTTTTCAAAATGCACAAGCTAGGTAAGTTACTACTAGTAATAAGTATATTAGGAGTGGATGAGTGCTGCTTACTATACAAAACATACCTTGACTGAAGTCGTCTTCTGCATAGAGCGCTGCATTTCCAGCGTTGCTCGAATTAAGCAATGTGGCTGTGATAGTGAGCCATTCGCTGTCACAGACATACCTGTTTTATAGCAAAATCAGTTATCTGCTCCTACTTTACTATTATTAGGGATAACTTATTTAACCTGTGCAGCTTCTACAATCAGAATTTTTCTAGGAGTTCAGGTTTAATTTGCCATTTGCAGCAGGGCTCTACAGGATATGTGGATGACATTAGCTTTCACAGCTTTTAGCAAGCTCTGTAGCATGATCTAAAGGCCAACAGCTGATCGATTCAGTGCTGTCTCCAAGAAATGGGTAATTAGAAAGTCTTTAGTAAAAGGATTGTTATAGGACACAGTTTTGTGTCTAGAAAGGCTTAGGAATAATCCTGTCTTTAACACCTCAACAGCATGAAGGGATGTTTTCAATGCACTTTGCTGTGATACCATAGGATACCGTTTTTATTTCATTTTTTTTTTTAACATTTCAGTGGAGGCAAGAATAAGGTGTTATAGTGGATTTCACCAGCATCTCCTGTGTTTCTGTTGGCATGAGTGTCATTATTACAGATTAGTTTTTGAAGGTAGTTAGACATGTGAATAGTTGTGGTTTGAGGCTTCCCATCAACCAGCTGTATCTAATGTGCAATGTACATAAACGTTCTTTTTATTTTTTCCTTTTTTTTTTTCTTTGAAGTCTACCAGTACCAGTCATTCTCTGAGTGCAAATGTGCAGAGTGTTATGCACATGATTAAGCATCAAAGCCAGAGCCCACATAGTACACAGACACGGTCAAAATCTGCAGGACACAAGCCAGTTAGTCTTGCAGGAACAAGCAGGAGTTCAGCCTGTGCAGCGCTCTCTACAGGTGATAGCCTGACTGATCTACTACATGCTCTACAGGGCGAGCTGGAGGACATGAATTTGTAAGTACAGAATGTGCTGTTTCTGGTTATTGTAATATTTAATGCTTTTATATTATTGCATAATTGTTCACAATAGTTTATTTCAATTGTGCTTTTTTTTTTTAGCTTTGAATATAATGAAAAAAATAATTTTGCTATAGAAAAATTGTTGTCAGATACGGTAATCAAAATACATCTTACTATATGCAAATATCCATGTCTCCAAAAATACAAATGTAAATGACCTGTAACAAGTTGTTTCTTTTTCATCCATCGAGGGACACAGGAAGGCTTTCACCTTGGGGTTATATTGCTGCCTACAGGAGAATTGGACACTGGCAAAAAAAAATGTAGGCCAGCCCAGGATAACCCCTCCTTCTACCCTCTTGCCTCAGTTTTTAGCTAGTGCTCTAGGAGGATGGATGTCTTCTCCTTTTTTTTTTTTTCTATTTTTTTTCAAGACCATTTATTTCATTTGAGACTTTTTCTACATCACTGCTTGAGCTTGTCTCTTCCATTGCAGCTATCCAGCATGGCTGTCCTCACCCTGACTTTTGCAGTGTCGCGTCTGAACCCCACTGGAGTGGACGTTGTATGGATAGCCTGGAAGTGACTTTAATCTGGTAGCCGGTTATTCCATTTAGGGCTTTCCAGGTCCATTGCTGCTGCCAGTGCCTCACTGCTTGCCCTGTCTCTGAAGATTCACTTTGTGAGTAAGCCGGTCGGGCTGCGCATCGGGAGCTATGCCTATTACATGGGTCATTGGATGCATTTAAAATCCCCAGCTTTCTGCAGATTGTGCCGTGGAAGGGACTGAGTGCTGATGTCATCCACCGAGTGAAGTGTCATGCACACTCTCTTTCCCTCCATGCAGTATCTAGGAAGCAAATCCTGCTGCTGCTCCTGCTTGCAAAGAGCCATGTGGAACTTTGATCTTCAACTCATCCCTCTACCTGCCTACAGTGACTTTGGTCACCTCTGTCCATCTGACCCTCCCCTCCTGAAAGCTTTCTAAATTTCGCAAGTACCTGAGGTTTGCCTCTCATCCAGAGTCTATACATTACCTTGCTGCCATTCAGTTGCATTATGCCTGATTCGATCTAGGGGAACAGTCCTGCTGTAACAGCTGCCCTCAGATCACACTGTAATAAATGCTGTGCGGCTGTACCTACTAATAGTGCTGACGTCTGCAGCCTGGAATCCTGTTGCCCTCCATTGCTATTACTCCCAAAATAAGTGATTGTTTCGATTCTTATTGATGCATTGTGCACCATTCTGAATTTAGAGGATCAGCTTCGCATGTATATTAACGGGCATCGCTGCCCGTTTTTAAATACCGGCCATTTCCCGCTCGCGTGCGCCTGACGGCGCGCGCAAGGGGGCGTGTCTGAGCGGACGTCTAGAGACGCCCGCTCAGATCGAGAGAGCTCCTGGCCGGCCGTTTTTTTACTACGGCCGGCCCGGAGGTAGTTAAAGAACCTAAGGCTGCAAAGACTTTTCTATTGCACCCAATGTTCCGACTCTTTCTCCATGAAGATTGGAAATACCCTAACAAGCTGTTTGTTCCCCCCGAGTACTTATTAGCTTGGTACCTGTTTAGGGGAATTTTGTACAAAAGTGTTCTACCTCTTTGTGGAACCAGCAGTGTCCTGCCTCAGCAAAGCGACTATCTTACCAGTGGAGGATGTACCTGTATTTAAGGATCCAACCGATAAGTGGTTGGAAGCCCTCTCTAGCACTAGTTCTCGCTGGCAGGCCTGCTCTTCACCCTGGCTTGGCTCTTACTTACTCTGCTAATCCATGGCTAACTGGTCAAAATCCTTTAAAAGAGATAGTACCACTGCTGTAGTTGATCCTTTGATTATAGGACACATAAAACAAATGGGTGTAGCTTTAAGCTTCAGTTATGACAGGCTAGAGACTTTCTGGCTTACTTTTTGCATAAGGCAGTTTTGTTAAAGTGCTGGACTGTGCAACCTGCTTCCAAGAATACTCTAATCTGCATGGCCCGCAAGGTCTCCCAGGATCTACTCTTGATACCATTATCAAGGACACTACTGGTGGCAAGAGCACCCATCTTCCTCAGTGGAAGAACCCTAAGGAGCCGACTGCAAAGTCTTCCCTCTCTTTATCTGTTGTGGAAAATCCACTTAATTTCTCCACTCCCTTGCCCTCAACATTGAGAAACTTGGTTACCAGTCCACCTGCAAGGTCTGGGACTCCGTTTGCCAAATCTTCAGACAAGCTTTTCTTCAGCATAAGTCCCCACTTTCCAGGGTAGGGGGATGTTTTTAACATTCGTGGACACTTGGATAGTTTGCATTTTAGACACTTGGATGGAGCAGGTGATATCCCAGGGCAACAAACTAGAGTTTTGCTCCTTGCCCCCTCCTCAGTTTCCTACTTTCAACCTTACTGTTTGATCGCACAGATTAGCAGATCTCCATCTAGGCCCCTTGTGTCTTCTGCACCAAGGTGTTTTTGCCCTAGTTCCTGTGGCAGAATGGTTTTAAGGACTTTACTTAAACATATTCACCATTCCCAAACCCAAAGGGGTGTCTGCACCATCTTGGCTCTCAAAGCTCTAAATTCCCTCATTCATGCTCCGAATTTCTGCATGATATCCACCAGGTCTGTCTTCGCCTCCCTTTACCCTTTGTTTTTTCTGGAAAACAGGACACCTACATGTCCCCATTTTGCCATCACATCAGCATTTTCTACGCTTTGCTATTGCAGCCCTGCCCTTCAGCCTCTTGTCTGCACCTCAGGTGCTCGCCAAGGTGCTGTCCCCAGTATTAGCCCTACAGCACTCTCGTGTTATCCCCTTTGTGGGATATTTGGACAACCTCCTGTTCAGGGAAGAGACGGTGCAGACTGACAGAGTGTCGTATCACAGACTCTGCAAGCTCAAATTTGACCTCCTCTAGTCCAGGAGTTGTTCGATGTCCTGACTCTTGGGCCTGATGGTAGGATCCTTCACGGCAGTCCCATATGCCCAGTTTCACTCTAGACCTAGGCAACATCCTGTCATTGTGGGACATGTCAGGTAACTGAGAACTATGAGGTGAGGGATTTCCACTCATCCTCATAGTTAGAGCCGACCTGTGACATTGAAACTGTCACACGTCGGCTCTATAGATTGGGAAGTGAGCTCACTTCCCGATCATCTCCTTGCAGAGAGTGGTGACTGTCAGTCACCGCTCCCCGCAGGGATTCCCCTCTCCGTTCCTCCAGTGCTGACTGGATAACTGACTGGGTGGCGGTCACAGCTGGCTCTGCCTCTAGATAGGCAGAGCCCGTTGTCAATCAGCCAGCTTGGTTGAGCTTGACAGTATTGTCAGGATCCGTCCGGGCTGTGGTGATCTCCATATCTAGGGGGCAATGGCCCGCTATATACTGAGCTTTGGGTCACGGGAGGAGGTTAGTATATGTCCTCCCGTGACCCTAAAGAGAACTATGGAATAAAAAGGTTTCCCCATAGTTCTCTTTTAAGTATTTGTTTGTCACTGGGGACCAAGTTGTCCCTGGCCTAGAAGTTCAGGAAGCTGGCTATGGAATTGGGCACACCCTTCTTCCGGTCTTCCGGAAGATCCTCACAATGGATGCCTCACAATGGATGCCAGCCTGTCAGGGTGGGGAGGAGACCTAGGTACCGCTCAGTGCAGGGGATTTGGCCGTTGAGGGAGTTCCATCTCTTGATCAACATCCTGGAACTTTGGGTGATTTTGCTGTCACTGCAGTGCTGGACCATCCTACTGGAAGGTCATTTGGTCCAGCTTTGGATGGAAAAACGCCACAGAGGTGGCGGTGGCATACATAAGCCAACAGGAAGAAATCAGCAGTCTTGCCATTGCAGGATAGGTAGATCGGATCCCACACTGGGCATAACTTCACATTCCTGCTTTGTTCCCCGTGTACATCCAGGCATGGACAAATGGCAGACAGAGTTGATTAGCTGACAGCACCTGGACCCGGGGGAGTACACTCAAAGGTGTTCCAGAACCTTTGCCGCAAGTGGGGCACACCAGAGGTGGACCTTGTGGCCTCCAGTTCAACAATAAACTGGGCAGGTTTGTCTCCAGGTACAGGGATCCTCCTAGTGGAAGCAGAGGATGCTCTGTGGGCTCTTCGAGATCAACCTGATCTTTTTTTTCAAAGACCAATTTACCATCCTGCTTCATTGTTGCTGGTTTCATCAACAATGAAGGATCGTTGAAGCCCAGGTTTTGAGAGACAGGGGCATATCTGAATCTGTGATACCTACATAACATCCACATGTGACTTGTGGCCTCTTAGCTGTACTTGATTGTTATAGAAAAATATTAAGTAAAATCTAAAAGCTTCATTCGACAGTTTAAAAGAATCCTATAAAATATAACCTTTCAGCACCAAACACAAAATATAAACACTATTTATATATTTTTTATTACAATTTCAGGGCAACAGCACACAAATAGCCCTCTCTCTCTGAGCTGTAGGCACTCTCCTGTTCTCTGTTGGTTCTTTTTCTCTAGGGCCTGTTAGTGTGTTTGCTGTGTTCCCCATCCCTTAGTTGGACTTCTTTTGGATGTGCTAAAGGTGAAAGACTTCCCGTGTCCCTCGAGAATGAGAACATATGCATGAGAACATAAATAGGATTTTTGTACTTCTTGGAGTCCATTAAGGGAACACAGATCCCACCCTTCTGTGTTTATGGTTGTACTTTTGGTATTAGTTTGCTACAAAACTGAGGCATGTTGGTAGGAGGGGTTATCCTGGTCTTGCCTAGTGTTTTTTGTTTGCCAGTGTCCCTTCTTCTGTAGGCTGCAGTATAATCCAATGGTAAAATACTTTTTGTGTCCCTCAGTGGCCTTCATTCAAGAAAATGATTTTACATCGAGTACAAACATGCTTTTTTTTCTTATTTTTTTAGTGAATATGATGAGCTATTGAAGCAAATAAATGAGACAAAAGACACTGATATGCGTGAAGATTTAGAACGTGAGATGGAGTGCCTTGTCAAACAAATGGAAACCAAAAGTGATCAGATCCTGAAGCTGAAGAGACATCAGCAAAATGTAAGCAGTTTCATGATAAATAACAGCCATAAACTATAATGCAGTCTGGATGTTTCAAGGATATTGCATTCCATACTATAATGATAGCTATGTTATTTTATTAATAAATGTCTAATATATTTATCCATCTCCTAAATTATAGATAAATGGTTGTTTTTAAAATACAAATGCAATAGTTTTTGTTTGACTGCTGTCTCTAGAGAACCATTCAGATAAGTGTGCTTTGCAGTGTAGTTTAGTCAGTGCAGGCTTGTTTCAATGCATTACAGCACACCATTGCTCTGTTATTTTGCACTTAACTAGCCCTAAAACATCCAGTTGGCTAGGAATATAATGCCTGTGGCAGCGATGAACAGATGTTCCCTCATTTCTATACCTGTTCTAGGGCAGTGACTCAGAAAGTACAGTACTGAAGTCATTGTATTAGCATGACATCCAGGAAACTAGTATTTTTGGATGAGGAGGTCCACTATACTTGCTTAATAAAGGTTTCCTTTATTCTGCATGCTGAAGGGCTTATTAAATTTAGGTTTATAGTCATACCTTTTCCAGCACAAGCAAAAAATCCACCTTACCATGCATAAATGAATACATACTGATGCTTCAGTTGTAAACAAGAGCCTTCTGTATCAATGTGTATTTATTTGCCCCCAACCACTAAGCATAATAAAACTTGGGGGCTGATGGAGAAGTAACTCCAGTTATTACTTTGGACATGCTGATATGGCCCATAATAATTGTAGCAGCGGTAAGTTAACCACTAACCAAACCGCAGATCCAAGGCCCCTCTAGGCTGCTGCCGCCAGCCATGTGTGCCAGCAGAGATAGGATTTATTCCATCCGCTCCCAGTAACTTTCAATAGATTCACATCTGCACCAGCCGCGTGGTTTCTGACATTTTGTTAAGCTAAAAAGCTTAATTGTACATTGACGGGAACTGCTAATCCAGCACGATCCTTTGCTGTGACATGTTTCGCCTCATTCTTGGGCTTAATGAAGTCTATGATTAGGCCCCATAGTGGAGTCAGAATGTGGAGTGGAGGATTGTAGTGGGATTACAGTTTCAGCCTATATGCAGTAATGCTATTTGAAAGAAAAACACCAGAGTTAAGACGTTGAGTACCTTCTCCTATGCAGAGTCAAGATTCTTAAAGCGGACCTTTTACCCATATTAAAATAATAAAAAACACACCTTTAGAAATGTTTCATAAGATTACAGATGAGATTTCCCAGCAATGCTTGGCTGATGGCAAGGCAATCCCAGTGTGCATTGCTTTGGCAAACTGAAGTAATTTTGCCCTTATAAAGCAGGAAGTGAATGCTCTGCAAGAGTACCGTATATACTCGAGTATAAGCCGTCCTTATAAGCCGAGATTTTCAGCCCATTTTTTTGGGTGAAAAGTGCCCCCCTCGGCTTATACTCGAGTCAGCGCCAGCGCGTCTTCTTACTTACCTCGCCGAGCGTCGCGTCACTGCTGCTCGGTGTGCGGCGCTCCGAGCGGGGTCATCTGGCAGTCTCCGGCCACCTAAATTAGGACCCGGAGACTGCCAGATGACCCCGCTCGGAGCGCCGCACACCGAGCAGCAGTGACGCGACGCTCGGCGAGGTAAGTAAGAAGACGCGCTGGCGCTGACTCGAGTATAAGCCGAGGGGGGCACTTTTCACCCAAAAAAATGGGCTGAAAATCTCGGCTTATACTCGAGTATATACGGTAAGTATTTCATGATCACAGCATTTTACACCTGACATGTCTATGTTACTATTAATCCATAGAGGGGTGCATTGGTAGAATTAGATTTTTGAGTGTAAAGGTCCGCTTTAACCTGCTTTATGGTACATCTCTGTATGATAATGAAACTCTATACTGTTCTGACTTTGTGGGAAAATGTGGATACAAGTTTCACATTCCATGTATTGAATCTATCTGTTGAAATGTACCAATTTCTCAGGTTCTTAGGCTCAAGAAAGCAGCTCAGTCAATGACGAAACTCTCTTCTAATGCCAGATCAGCTCTCACAGGACAGTCTTGCAAAGGAGACAGTCCTGTCACTCTAGTGAAGAAACAAGAGGCTTCAGCAAGAAGCTCTCCAGCTCCCAGTAGCAACGCTGCCCTTCAGCTGTTGAAAAACGTGCAGAAGATTCAGACAAATTTAAAGAAGGATGATATCATGTGGGAAAAGTGATTTTTCTTTTTTTGTATATATTCTTTTTTGCTGTGTGTGTGTGTGTGTAATACTAAGGTCTTCTCAATCCTGTGTGTGTACAGTGACTTCCAGCGCCTATTTATTTATTGTTAATATTTTAAATAAAGATTTTAAATTTTGTGTATTTGTATCCAGAATGACGTACATATGTGTACTTGTTTTATACTTTCAATAATTTATTTGTTTTCATTTTTGTACCACTGCTGATACCCTTCATTAATATATGCTCTGTTTACATGTACAGATGGTGTCTACTTATTTGAAGTCAGTAATACAATTTTGTACCACACTATCCTGTTTCAAATCGCATGTGTTTTAGATAAAAGGATACTTCTATGTAACATTTGTAAAGGAAAAACATGACAGGCATATCTATTTACTGCTCCTTTTTTTGTCCTCCTGAATTTGCAGCTAGCTACAGCGTTTCTGCTGTAGTTGGCTCCAATGCTTATCTATGCAGCTAAAAATCACTGGTGTGCCATCATGAGCAGCTGCATTGGTTAACATGGATGGCTGTTGAAGCTGGCTGCTACCTACAAACGCTGAAAAAAAAAAGTCAATTGCCAAGCAACACAAACCTTTTTATAGAATGCAATTCATTTTTTTTGGTGGCAGCAAAAATGCTATAGACAGTGATTCTGTTGTTGCTATACATCTAAATCCCTGCTAGAAAATCACCAGTATAACATCAGCCTTATAGCAATCTTATTTTATATGTTAAAGTGTATCTATAATGAGCCAAAATGACACGGTAGTGAATTAGAACCCCTGTCTGGTTTTACACCTGTCCAGGGTTCTGTTGGAGAGATATACTCTTATAGTCCTGTGGAAAACCTTTTTAGCAGATCGGAAGTGAAGGAAAATCTCCCACAGCAATGGTCAGAAGTTTTTTTTCTTTATCTATTTTAAGTAGGGAATGCTAGAACCCCTGTTAACTCTGTGGGACTTATGCACACGAGGGGCTGAGCCCATACAATGTATATTCTGTTGTATTTGCTAGGGATGTTCAGATACCGGTGCCGATACTTGGCATTTTCATGAGAACTACCAGGATCATAACGGTTGCAGCTGGGACCTGGCTCTGAAGCTCCACCACTGTCCTGAAATCATTCGTCTGTATTGTTTTAGAAAAACTTGTCACATGACAATAAACAAAAATAAATCAGTACTTGAAAAACTGGTATCTGTGCATATTTATAAAAACAATCTCATACATTAAAACAGGGATGTACAGATCCCAGGAGCTCTGTATGATCCTTAAAAATGACAGCTGCCTCCTAACTTTTGAATTTTTCTCTAGTCTAGTCTTGGAGCTGAAAAAGTATCTGTACATGTACTTGTACCGAGTACAGTACTTGGTATCTGAACATCCCTAGTATTTGCCCCTGCCAGGGAGCCACAGGTGCTGCGTACTGCTTCCCATAGAAGTCCATGGCTGTACGTGGTTATACACCGGTACTTGTGTGCAACCGCATATGCGTACCAATGCAGCAGTGCTCCCTCCAGCCTGTCTGCTCCTCTGCAGCAATGGTATGCCCCTCAGTGTCCTCAAGTCTTATACATTGCATTGGACGTCATGACTCACGGGACTGCTGCAGCAGAGGGGGAGAGATGCTCCAGGGATTGGTCTAAGAGCCGGCTGGCTCCAAGCATCAAGTGAGTATAGCTTTTTTTTTTTTTTTTTTTTTACCCTAGGCAAAAAAAAAACACTTAACCCTTGCAGTGCAGGGGTAGCCCCACTCCAAGGGGTAATAACATGTGTGCCTGGAGTTCTTCTTTAAGTTTAGATGTTCTTTAATGCTAAACTCCAGGCAAAATCAATATTTTCTAAATACAAAAGGCATGTATATTGTGAGTTGAATCTTGTTATCCTTTGAGCATTTCTTTCACATATGTGCAGTAATCCAGCATGAAACAACTGCACTTTCCTCTGTGGAGGTGTTTCTCATAATATAGAACTGTTGCTGCTGCTCTTTCTCCTTGTGCAGGGTGACTGGTCTTGCATCCACCACCTCCTGTAGTTCTCTCCAGGCAGCCTGTAGTGATTGGGACCTGCTTGATCCTTCTCACAGCTCAACTCTGCACAGGATATGTACAGCACAGTGATTATGCCGCCATTATTTTTACTAGATAATAACAGTGGATTTTTATCTTCTGTGGCTATTGAAGGATATATTTAAAGGCATATTACACTTTTTTTGCAAAACAAAATTATACATGTAAGCCCCCTTCACATCAGGAGCACCCTCCTTTCACAGAGTCTTCCCTCTCACTCTAGAGGCCCTCCTCTACATTAGAGCCCCCTCCTTTGACAACAGAGTCCCCCTTCACATTAGAAACCCCCCTTTCACATCAAAAGCCCTCTTTACATCACTAACCCTCATTTCATATCTGAACCCTCTTTTACATCAGAGTCCCCCCTTCACATCAGGGGCCCCTTTCACATCAGAGTCCCCCCTCTGCATTAGATCCCCCCTTTCATATCAGAATATCTCCTTCACATCAGAATGCCCCCTTCACATCAATATCCCCCCTTTACATTAGAGCCCCCCTTTCATATCGGAAACGCCCTCTTTCACATCAGAATAACCCCCTTCAGATCCGAAGTCCCCTCTTTTACATTAGAGCCCCCCTTTCATATCGGAAACGCCCTCTTTCACATCAGAATAACCCCCTTCAGATCCGAAGTCCCCTCTTTTACATTAGAGCCCCCCTTTCATATCGGAAACGCCCTCTTTCACATCAGAATAACCCCCTTCAGATCCGAAGTCCCCTCTTTTACATTAGAGCCCCCCTTTCATATCGGAAACGCCCTCTTTCACATCAGAATAACCCCCTTCAGATCCGAAGTCCCCTCTTTTACATTAGAGCCCCCCTTTCATATCGGAAACGCCCTCTTTCACATCAGAATAACCCCCTTCAGATCCGAAGTCCCCTCTTTTACATTAGAGCCCCCCTTTCATATCGGAAACGCCCTCTTTCACATCAGAATAACCCCCTTCAGATCCGAAGTCCCCTCTTTTACATTAGAGCCCCCCTTTCATATCGGAAACGCCCTCTTTCACATCAGAATAACCCCCTTCAGATCCGAAGTCCCCTCTTTTACATTAGAGCCCCCCTTTCATATCGGAAACGCCCTCTTTCACATCAGAATAACCCCCTTCAGATCCGAAGTCCCCTCTTTTACATTAGAGCCCCCCTTTCATATCAGAATCACCGCCTTTCACATCAGAGTCCCCACTTCAAGTAAGAAGACCCCTTCACATCAGAGTCTCCCTTTACATCAGAGCCCCCCCTTCCATATCAGAATCCCCCTTTACATCAGAGCAGCCTTTGCATAACAAGCCTGCCTGCACCATGGAAAGGCAGGTTACTG